TTTTGTTTGGCAACAGATTCGTAATTATGCTGGTTTCAGTGTCCTGGGGTGACCTTTTGACAAAATAAAAAAATTTTAATCAAGCCCCGCCCCCTCTCCCTGGTCAATGGTGTCCCTCTTTACCAATCTGAAAATCTGGTCACCTTACCCAAATGCCATCCGTGGCTGGCTCCACTCACCCCACCCCACCCCCATCCGAGGAGTCTCAACGCGCCCATTCATCATGCAAGGTAAGTGCAGGGCCCATACAGAGGCTGGGAGAGGGCAAAAAAATGGGCCTACCAGAGGTTCTAGAAGTCCAAGAACAGGCCTGTTCCCAGCCTCTGGAGGGGCTCCGGAGCCCGAAGTAAGCAGTTTTCGCCCTCCCCCAGCATCAAGGAACGCCTCTGGAGCCTAGGGAGGGCAAAAAAGCCTACTCCCCCACTGTGGTTCAGGAGGCCAACTAGATCATGTCCACCATGGCCACGTCCACCCAGCAATGGGGCAGTGAACCTGTTGCTGGAACTTTTGAAGTCCACCCCTGTGTTGTTAAAACAATTATGTTTAGTCTTATTCTACAGCATTCTCAGCAGTTCTCCACCCCTTTTTAACCTCATTTGGTGATGGAAATAATTGAAAGCTCAATGGAATTATTTGCCCTTGGACTAGAGTGACATTGGCCATGAGCTTAATGGCATATGTTTATCCATTCTAGGTAGTGCCTCAGTGCTTATAGAATGCCATGTATTATTGTATTAAAAATTAGATAATACTAAATGAGTAAAAGATTAATTCAGCTATAGCTGGTCTTGGAAACAAGCATTCACCTTGTAATAGTACTAGAAGATGGTAACAATTTTTGGGAGATTTGTTATACATTATTACTCCATCCCAACACAAGCATGATTTAATAATAATGCAAAAATTATTTAAATAGAATGGCTACTATTTGCTTGCATGTTGTTAATTCCCCTAGAGGTGTTCTAGCTGGAGCTGGGGTGACACCATAAGTCAAAGGCCTTGTCTACCCACTAAGGTCCTGATGTGACATGCAAAATCACACTTTCTATTTGTCAACCTAAACATTAATACAAGACAGCTAACAAGATTTCTGCTTAGTTTGGCTCTTGGTCTAGTGCTGAGAAAGGAAGACTGTCCTTTTCCACTGTTGCTTCCATTTCAGAAAGGGAAAGAAAGAGAAGACTTGTATGTCCTATTTGTTCAGTAATTACATTAAGAATCTTGCAGGAGTGTGGCTATTCCTTACATGCATTTTGTCTGTATATTTTGTATATAGTTTTGTCACCCAGCCTTTTTACTTTGGCCATAAATAAAAAAAAGTGGTTATTGTCATCTTGAGTCTCACTCTCTTTGGCATCTCGGTTCGGGGAAACTTCTGGGACCTTACACAACTCATTTATGAACAGAAGCTAATAATGTTCCCATTATTTATTGATATTTTGGGGTTTAATAAGATGCTCTGAGAAACTTACAATTCCTCTATAAAGCAATCAGGTTAAAAAAAGAAAAGAAATATAATAGAGTCACAATCCAGAAAACCACCACTATGCTTATCGTCCTTATAACATCTGGTACTAACCAGGCACTAACTTCTCAGGAGCATCTCCACTTCCATTCTATCTCCAAAAGTCCTTCCAAAAAGACCCAAAGAGCCTGAACACCAACAGCGATGGAGCTCCCCTTATTTCTGGCTAGGTTTTTCCAAAGCAGTGGGGTCAGCACTAAGGAAACTCACTCTCAGGATTCTTAATTATGACATGGCCCTGGGGCCAGGAATTCCAATATTAGAATAGTTGTCACCAGTGGTGAAATTCTTTTTTTTTTTACTACCAGTTCTGTGGGCATGGCTTGGTGGGCATGGTGGGCGTGGCAGGGGAAGAATACTGTGAAATCTCCATTCCCACCCCACTTTGGGGCCAGCCAGGGGTGTCATTTGCCAGTTCTCTGAACTACTCAAAATTTCCGCTACTGTTCTCCAGAACCTGTCAGAACCTACTGGATTTCACCCCCGGCTGTCACACTATAAACGTGAGAAAGTCTGGCTCTTCCAAAATAGGCATATTTCTTAAATTCTAGAGTTGAGCACTCAAAATTTATTTATTATTGTTTATATAGCACATTCTGGAGAGAGAGAGAGAAGTTCGCTGAGGAGGGCTTCAGTGTGAAACTGAAAGCTTGAAATACTAAACCTCTGGACCCAGTGATCACCTCAGATTGGATCCTACAACATTATCTTGGGATATGGATATTTGCCTTCATTTGTCATTTATAGCTGCCCATCTTTTGGCCAACTCTGAGAAGCTCCCAATCAAAAATTAAATCAGTAACAATCCCTTCTACTCCATATTTGGGTTTCACAACTTGTTATGAATATTTCTTATGCTCCTGTGTTCTGAGTTCAGAGTATCAGTCAGGCATCAATCTTATAATCTACTGCATAGGAAATTCAACTAGTTGATTCTATTGTATGATTGTATGAATGGTTCATAGCAATAGCACTTAGAATTATATACCGCTTCATAGCACTTTTACAGCCCTCTGTAAGAGTCAGCATATTGCCCCCAACAATTTGGGTCCTCATTCTACCCACCTGGGAAGGATGGAAGGCTGCGTCAACCTTGAGCCAGTGAGATTTGAACTGCTGAACTGTAGTTAGCAGTCAGTTGAAGTAGCCTGCAGTACTGCACTCAAACCACTGCGCCACCTTGGCTCAATGTTACATTGCTGGTTATTAAGGCTCTGTGATTCTGGCCAACAGATTTTTTTAGTACTTCTCCCAGGAATTTCCCTCCTCCTTTTCCTGCGGTATGAAGTTCAACATTAAGATACCAAGTGATAGTTGTCATTCTCTAGTGCCTCTTTACCACATCCTGTTTGTCTTCCGCAAAATATTCTATGTATTCCTGTTGTTCCACATATGTTCTGTGTCATTTTCAGAAACCCAGAAATTGTTCTCTTCTGTGTATCTCCTTTTTTCACCAAAATGATGATTATAGTTCAGGTTTTTCCAGATTCTTAATTAAAGGAAAATTTTTATGTTATAATCTTTTTTTCCTTTATTTGTTCATATGGTATATCTCTATTTTGACCAGAATTTCTAAATAACAGAACTAAATATTTGTCCTGGATCATTTTTTACTGTTGGCCATATTGCCTAGGAAATCTGGGACATAACAATAGTCACAAATCTGATCCAAAGCTAGTAGGAAAGCCTACAGTTTATCCTCCATTTATTCCATTATCCATGGTAGTAGAAAAAAAAGGCATACATGGAACATGTTGAACAATGGAATTAAGATGCACTGGCTAGCTATGAGGATGTGAAAAGCTAATTATTACCTAAATGGGAGAAGACAAACATGATCATCTGATCCAGTCCTACCAATATAAATAACAGCCTATCTCTGTTTTAGGCATCAACATCTGGTACAGTACCATGAAGCCATTTGGTATATCCCTTCTTATAGGCTTTCTTGTCCTTTGCTCAGAGATATCATCTGCATCTGGAACAAGGATTTTCAGAGGTAAGTATCAAAACCTATATTTCCAAATTTAGGTCAGAGTATTGTTTTTTTCAATTAAAGAGGTAGACATTTTATTCTAATAGGGTGAGTGGTCAATATGTAGTTTATGTAAAACAGTATGTGGCTTATGGAGGAAAAATATCAATCCATTATGCTTAGGTCTGGAATCATAGTGGTGTATTTTAGAAGGTAGAAGCAAGAAGTTTACTAAAAAATGTGGCCATTAGCATCCCTTTTGTGGCTTCAAATCCACCCCAATTGATGAGCCCATATGTCTGATACCCATTTTGTTTGTTTGTTTGATTTATTTTATTTATTTTATTATTTATTAATTTTATTATTTATTTTACTATTTATTAATTTTATTATTTATTTATTATTTATTTAATTATTTGTTTGTTTATTTTATTATTTATTTATTCATTTTATTGTTTATTTATTTATTTTATTATTTATCTATTTATTTATTTATTTATTTATTTTATTTATTGTTTTATTCATTTATTATTTTATTTTTATTTATTATTTTATTTTTGTTTGTTTATTTTATTTATTTATTTATTTATTTATTTAGTTAATGTACAAAATAACAGGTATAAGTATAAACATGGATATGAACAAAGGAAATAAGTAAAAATAGACATACTGAGTATGTCTAGTTTAATAGAAAGAAGGACTTGGAGAGACATGATAGCAATGTTCCAATATCTCAGGGGTCGCCACCAAGAAGAAGGAGTCAAACTATTCTCCAAAGCACCTGAGGGTAGAACAAGAAGCAATGGGTAGAAACTAATCAAGGAGAAATGCAACTTAGAATGAAGGAGACTTTTCCTGACAGTTAGAACAATTAATCAGTTGAACAGCTTGCCTCCAGAAGTTGTGAATGCCCCAACACTGGAAGTCTTTAAGAAGAGATTGGATAACCATTTGTCTGAAGTGGTGTAGGGTTTCCTGCCTGGGCAGGGGGTTGGATTAGAAGACCTCCAAGGTCCCTTCCAACTCTGCTATTGTATTGTANGTTATATTTGTGCTGATAAATAAATAAAGGGAGACTAGTATAGATCTATTTCAAGCTATTTAGCTCTCATCAGCTAGCCATACCCTTACTGGGATCATATATATATGATTTAAAGACTCTGCTTGCCAGACAGACGTCGAGGACAAAAAAGAGGATATCTGCTTTTGTTGGCCATCAGAGTTTACTTACAGGAAAGAGTGATCATGATGAGGACTATTCCATAATATTGCAGTTACTAATGCTGCTACCTGTTGTAACCCTAGTTTCTGTTTCAACAGAAATGCAAATAATTGCTTCTTTCTGGGGGAGGAGACAAAACAGAAGCATATAAATCAGTTTGGTAAAACTCTGATGCAACTGTAGCCCTAACTACATTTCTGTTCCTGCACTGTTTTCCCCAGCAGTAGTTTTTGATCATTCTAAGTTGTTTGCTGATTTTGGAGGACAGCATGAAGCTGCTCACCACCTTTCTCCTTGTGGGCCTTCTAGCTCTTTGGATGGGATTCCCCACCACAACCGGGAGTGACCTCCCAACAGGTGAGACATAAACGTAGCTGTTTGGTGAAGAGAGATGATGGAGGAAAGAGAAGGAAGCCTCACTGAGTTTTATGCCTTCATCTTTACTTTTAAATTGTCTATTTGATAGAGCAGATAGAATATTAATTTATATAGTTTTTACTCCACTTATCAGGGAAATTATGATAACTTATGTTAAACTGTAATGCAATTTCAGAAATACAAATAATTACATTTTGTTGGAGATGCTCCTCATACAATTTATTGTACTGTTGGTATTATTAAACCAATCTGTAAACCTTCAGTGGACCTGTGTCTCTCTCCCTTTCTTTCTCTGTATCTTATTGGGGGGAAATTGAGATTATATTTGACAAAAAAGGTTGCCATCTTTTAGATACTGTATTTATTTATATATATCAGAAATTTCAAACTCAGGGTACTCCATGCTAGAGATAACCCTTGCATCTCTAGATAGCAACCTTTTCAACTATAATCTCCATTTTCTCTCAATAAATTGAAGGTGCACATTTCTAATCAGCCTATATTAATTATATAGCACTTGAAAAGAAATACGAATTGTAAAGAAATCTAAAGTTGAAATTGATTATTTAATCAACTTCATAAAAGTGTTTTGAAACCTTTTTTTTTTAGCCTATAACATATTGCAGGCATTTGAGGTTAGAGAAAAATGCAATTCATTTTGTTAAGGCTTTAAGATGTTGCATCAGATAAGGTCTAAATGAAATATGCAGTTGGAAGCCTGAAAAAGTTAGTGGATTGAATAAGCCTTTGAAACAAAAGTAGAATTAGGAATCCTACTGAGAATATGTTGAGCAATATCTCTGCAGAAAATCCTTCAGCGTTTTTTTTCCATTTGTCCAATAGAATTTGAATTAACACACAATTTACGATATGTTGGGGTTTTCAAACTCAATATATCCATACAATACATATTGGTGTCATCTGTAGATGGCAACAGTTTCAAACGTCTCTATTTTCTTTCAGTAAGTGGGAGATTTACATTTATATTGAACATTTTCAATATAAAAATATTCTATATTAATTTTACAATATCTGAAAGAAAGTAAATAGAAATGAAAAAAAATCTAAAGCTGAGATTGATTGATTGATTGATTGATTGATTGATT